GTGCTGTGACACATTCCTCCCACAACCATCATTAAAAATTCCTGTGACTTGTGCCACAATGGCTGTTCTGTTGGTTTGGACAAGATGGGATAGCCTTGTGCATTAGGCTTGGGAACCCAAAACCCTATCACCAGTTTGTGGATTGTTATTGTTTGGACCGCTGTCAGTGCTGACGGGGAGCACCCCAAATGGCTTGCTGTTTTGGAGATGCTCCAACACAGTCACTCGTCTGGCCATAACAGTTTGGTCCGGTTCAGGTCTTCACTCCTGCCCATTTCTCCCGTATTCAACACGCGGTTCAAAAACTGACTGTTCGATTACCGCCCAGACCTTTACATGCACTGTCAAAGCAACATGTCAAGATAATTAACTTGAAAATAAAAATATGAATCTAAAAAAAGATATTATTTCAATACATACATCATAATACATCAACATTTTTGAGAAAATAAGACATTATTTCAAGAAACCAAATAAAATATTTTGATAAAATAAGTCATTATTTTGAGATACTAAGTCAAAGTTATGGCATACTACACACTTAAAAGGTTCTTCACAGGTTCTTTAGTTAAGAAAATGGTTCTATATAGAACCATGAACATTCAATGAACCCTTTGCATGATTAAAGGGTTCTTTGCATCTTAAAGGCATTCTTCAGATTGATGAACAATGTGTTGTAGATGGTTCTATATAGAACTTTTTTGAAAAGGCTTCTATATAGCAACAAAAAAGGTTCTTCTATTGTTACACCATTAAGCTTGCTACAATGCAACAGAAGAACGCTTTTCAGAAAGATTCTATTTAGAACCATCTACAACACATTCGCCATCAACCTATTTTGATTTCATGATGCAACGATTCATGATACAAAGGGTTCTTTGAGTGTTCATGGCTCTATATAAAACCATTTTCTTTACTACAGAACCCTTGAAGAACCATGGTTTTTTAAGAGTGTATCAAAGGCAGAGAGGGAGGGTGAAAAAACATGGCAATTTTTCTGCTCTGCCTGGGAAGAGCAGGTGGCCATAGCTAAGCACGTCCCACCAACAACTCCCTTCCCTTGCTCCCCTGCCCCGATTCTGAACCATTACAGATTTCACATTGTCCCATATAGACCTATAATTTTTATTGTCCTCAGGATGGCATTGGTCTGGCGCCTTGCTATGACTGTGGTCTTCCAGGACTGGAGCCTCACAAACCTGGCAACAGAACGAGAGACTGAATTAGAGAGCCATACCAAATGGTCTGCTGGAATTTTAGTACACTGTTTTACTGTAGGAGCTTTTATTTCATGACCTATGTAACTAACTACATAGGGGTTAAGGAGCCATTTGCGGCTGGGGAAACCTCTCTTTGGAGTAGGTCTCTTTGCACACGGCATGTAACGATACTACCACAAGATGTCAGTGTGAAACAAATTATATTTTACCAAAGACTACAGTGGCATAAAATATACTTTTTGTGTACTAATCCTATGAAAAAACTGTAGTTATCAAACACATCATGTCCCACAAATTCCAGTTATCATGCATGCCTTAGGTGTCCTAGCGTAATGTATGTATGCATGTAAAATACATGTAACCTATTAAATGTATTGTATCAATTTGATGTGAATTAATCATAATTTGTACAGGTGCAATGGGAGTATCAGACAGACAAATAAATAAGCAAAGAGGAGTGCCTTCATCATTTGGGCTATGGGCTGGAATAGGTCAGTAACCTCCCATGGTAAGGAACATTAGCAGGATTATTATTGTGGGATTATCACTGTTAAAGTGTTAGCTGGCAGAGCAGGTAATCCAGGCAGCCAGGATAAGTTTCCACATACCACGCTTTATATTCCTCCTCATTTCTACGCGGAATGTGGCAAACTAATGACGTCCTTTGGCAATAAAGCAGCAGGAGGTGAATGGCGTTCGTACCTTGGAGACCAGGGCGCAGAGGTGAGACTTTGGAGCATGCTTGGCTAACCAGAAGGGTGTCTGTGGATGGAACCTGTTACTTATTAAGGCCATGTGTGCTCATATAGTGAACAATTTACTGAGGACCATGTCAGATATAAATGTATTGTTTAATGTGAATATTGACATGAATGGCCAATAGGACTGCTTGTAGCATGCTGAGTTTGTTTCTAAATATAAACCTAAATCTTTTAAGCTACTGTGCTGAGCACATGGGATCAGTAAAATGAGAATTGGTTTTCAGCACATGTAGAAGCTGGATGATCAACTGCCTACAGTTAAATGCATGCATTCTATTAAAATAATATTTTAAGGCTAAAAAAATCAAGTTTAGATGTTTTACTTTCCATTTCAAAAGACAGCATCTCTGAGCTGGCAAATAAAGTCCAGTCGTATGACCAATATCAGCATATACAGTCACGGCTAAAGAAACACTCAGTAAGTCATCACAGTTGTTTAAAAAACACGTTTTCCTTTTTTAACAAAGTGGTTTTATATGGGAGACTGTCATGGCTATCACGCTGTCACATGTTAAAGTTGTAAAGATTTAAAGTAAAGTTTAAATACAAGTAAAAAAGTTTAATTATTCAAATTATCTGTGCAAATTATTTCTCATATAAGAAACCAATAAGATTTCCAATTTTACGCATTATTTGTTTGTGTATAATTACAGAAAATGCTTAAATTCCTGTCCTTGTCACTGCAGGCCCTAATAAATCCACTAACCCTAATTCTATGGTATTGGGATTGAATGGATATCTAATGTGTATTAAGAACTTAGGGGTGCAGTATAGTTCAAGTGAAAAGCAATTAGAGAACATTATAATATTTTGCTCTTGAGTGAATAGAAACTTGCTTGATTTTGTTAAGCTTTCATTTTTTAATAAAAATAAATCACTGCAAACCGAATCAATCCAAACCAACACGTTAGACCCCTTGACTGTTATTTGTGTCATCAGTGTCAGTCACGAATGTGCCAGCTTCGAGTTTCACCCAGTTTTAGATGACAGATGTGTGTTCTTTGTTTCTACCTGTTGCGTTTTTGGTAAAAGTTTTAAGCAATCTCAGCTCGACCTCAGTGGTTCACGACGGCACAGAGACACTCACTCAGGGCTGCTGTAAAACAACACTGTTAAAACTCTGTCTCAAAAAGCCAATTTATAACTTTAAATTCTCAAATAACACGGCTAGTAGAGGCTTTAGGCGTTGACGTGGTAGGAGTCGCCCTCCATTTCACTTCATGCGAGTCCTGTGTCGATAGAGTTGACACGAATCCAGGAGCGAGCGAGCGAGCGAGCGAGCGAGCGAGAGAGAGAGAGAGAGAGAGAGAGAGAGAGAGAGAGAGGTCCACTGAAACGGGATTAAAATCGCTCCGGGATTTTTCCGGTCCGCTCTGTGGTTAAGCTAACAACACTCGAGCTGCTGATGGTGATGATGATGGTGATGGTGGTGATGATGGTGCTGCTCTCTGAACTCGACTGACGGGGCCGCAGGTGAACTTTGGGCCGCTCTGAGTCCGCGGTGATGAACCTCAGAGGCTCTGTCTGACTCAGACAGCCCGGATATTCTCATGGTTGTCGTTTTCACGGGTTTTTGTAGCGACGACTAGCCATGATGTGAGGACAACACCCGGATGTTGTGAGAGGCGCGCGCTCCATGGCGCTCGGGGAACTACGAGAAGCAGTTTGTAACCGGCGGATTAACGGCTCGAACTCACTCCGACCACCAGTCTTCTAGTTGCGGTGGGGAAACCAGTTTATAAAAGGGACTTTCAATGAGGAGTAAAGGATGGAAGAGCCAGAGGAACCGACTGGAGGTACTGAATCCGACGCGCGCTCTCAACTGACGCTCTCGTGCGCTCGCTCGCGTGTTTCTCTTTTCCTCTCAGCGCTCAGCACGACTGTCTGTTCGCCTCAAATATGTGAGAGTTTGATGTTAACTGCTGTTTTTTCCTCCTTTAAAGTGTGTATTTTAAGCGTAGACTGTCAGACCGAAGCGCTGCCCTGCATCGTATGATTTGGACCACCGCTTTTATCTATTTTTGGTTACTATATCTAAAAAAACGGTAGGCTACAATACAACTACTGACAGGTCTGACAGGTGAGCTGTCAGTGTTTCTGAGGGAGAAAAGAGTCAGAGAATACTTTTTGTACACACTTGACTAACATTAGGCCTTGAATCTATGCCTTCTACATTGGATTCAGCCATTAAAGGGGAGTTAAACCTTTTTTTTCAGAATTTCTCCATAAGTAAATGTTTAAGTTGTAAACAAAGTCATTAGTTGTGGTTTGATTTGAAATGCTCCCTTCTAGAGAATCTTATCGAGTCAGAGTTGTTCACAGTGGTGGTGATAGGAACCAGACATCTGAAGTGCTTTATACTTCTTAAACCTCACTCACAGAAAGTTATTACTTGAAATGTTTATGAATACATTGCCAGATGCCTGAGACGTTGTTTTATGATAGTTTGAAGATAAGCTTTTAGCCTCAAGCTTATTTTTTCATTCATTAATGGTGAAGTGGTACATTTTGCAAGGCAATATAGTCCCCAAAGAAAATGTTTTTTTCCAGTTTTACCAGTGTTTCACCATTATCAACATTACATATAAAAAATAGAACATACATATAGGTTCACTGGTGGTTTTGGATAGTGGATAAAATGGCAATATTTTGCTTGTGGACATCATGACCCCTGGTTCCTATCACCACCACTGTAACAAAATTAAAGTCTGTATGTTTTTTTTTTTTTTTCACAACGAACCATTTTTACACCAAACCACTCTGTGTGACTTTGTTCACATTTCAATGACTGAATTGTGCAGAAATTTAAAAGAATCAGTGGAATTCCCCTTTAATTAGCTAGTTTTATTGGGATGTACTGATATTACAATTCTGGGCCAAGGCCAACATCTAATAACTTTCATGTCCATATCTGCTGATGCTGATACATAGACATTTATCAAATATAGAATGTAGAAACTGGGACTCCATTTACTTGGACCAGCATCACAGACAAATATAACATTTATTTCTATGTGGCTACAAATTCAGAATTAATTAATAAAATGCAGATATTTTAGGGCAGTAGCCCAGTGCCACCTATCCATTATGCTTTACTGGTGTACAACAGACACGTCAACAAATATTGGTCAAACCTAAACATTTTTCCACTTCTTTAAGCAACTATATGTTATATGATATTTTTTATCATTGTGCATCCCTAAGTTTTAGCTCTGTCCAAATGCTCACAAGTTGACAGGCACATTCTGTTGTGCCTTGTGGAGCACTCGAGCAGATGGGAACAAATGGTGGAATAATTTAGGCAAACATTTTGTATGTGTGTGGCCATTCAATTGCTAAAACACGCAGCCTGAAACTGTCTAAGACTCAAGTTTGACTGAAGGTCCGTAAACCTTTTACCCTAAAGGTCCTATGTTTTACATTTTTCTTCTGTTTATATGTATATATATATATATATATATATATGTATATATATATATATACACACACACACAAATGACCTCTGCGGTCATTGGCTGCCCTGTGTTGTGCCTCATTCAAAAGCAGTTAGGCTGAAACTGTCTATATAACTTCAGGGTGAAGGGGCGGAGCTAAACGGTTGTAGGTAAATATATGTAAGTATTTTGCTTTTTTATAATATCACAAAAGCAATAAATTCAAAAATATTTTTTTGCAGATTCATTTCTGTGTATGCACTTCAGTGTTTTGACATTTTAACAATACGGTTTTATTGTCAAAAAGTGATGAAGATTTAGTTTCCTACAATATGGACAATTTAACTTGCTTCTTATCAGGCCATTGAGGGAACTTTTAGGAACATTTTAATACTGTCCTTACTACTTCTATAAAACAGTTTTACCAACAAATTTAAGAAGTAAGCATGGAGCCTCTTTGAAATATATAATGATTTAGATTTGTAAGGCAGTGTTTCAATATTTGCTTCAGGTGATACTACTAGAAGAGCAAGCACAATATCCAAGTCCAGATAATCAGAATTAATAACAACTTCATACAGCTGTTGTCATTGGTACAAATCATGTGTTCATGCCACTAAGCCTGTGCTAAACCACTGAATTTTATTTCATTTGTATTATAACATGTGAAGCATCTTTTCAGTTGTAGATGGCTGCTGTTTGCAGGCGTTGTCAAGGAGATTCACTTTGTCCACGCATTTCTTTCGAGATGCTATTAATAGCCTTTCCGCAAGCTCTTCTGTGTCTGTGCCCAGCACATTTCATATGAAGTGTCTCTAGATTTGATCATAAAGCAAACCTTTTGCGTGGGTGGTGTTGCATGGGATTCTACACACAAGCCTATACCACATAAAAAAATTAATATTTAGGTATTTTTTCTGAACTTAAACGGCAGTTAGAAAAGGATTAACAGCAGTTTGTTTGCTGTTAGTTATAGTTATAGTCATAAGGCCTTGCGTGAAGGTATATTCTCTTGATAGATATAACTTGGCACTAGCTGCTAAAGCCTAGTCTGTCTGACAGTGTAGATCAAATGACCCAGAAATTCCACCACCAGATACAGCTCTGCTTTTCCACATGACAGTATATTGATTTTCTCTCTCTCTCTCATTCTCTTTCACACTCACTTACTTTCTGTTCCTCGCACTCGCTAACTTTTTCAAACTCTCGACCTCACACATTTTCCTTCTCCTCCTTCTCATCCTCAGGGGCAAACTATGCCAGCGGCACCAGAGCCCCTCCCTCTAGTGAGGCTCCTCCCCCTTGGTCTGAAAGCCCCTCCCGCTCCAGGCAGGCACACCCCCAGACTGCTAGTCTGTCCTGGCAGGCTGCGATCAATGCTGCGAGAAGCGCCAAGGGTGACAACCCCCAGACGATGAGCGGGCAGTCGGTGGCAGGTTCCACACCTGTGGGTTCCCTGTCCCAGAGGAAAAGGCAGCAGTACGCCAAAAGCAAGAAGCAGGGCAGCTCCACCAACAGCAGGCCTCCACGGGCACTCTTCTGCCTCACCCTCAACAACCCTATACGCAGGGCCTGCATCAGTCTGGTGGAGTGGAAGTATCCTTCCATTAGCTTTCTCATGAGATGAGATCATGGCTTGGGCTGGCCGCAGGGTTATAGTGATCTGAGACTAAGAGTGTGTGTTCTGAGGAGCTTAAGGATTTTTTTATCTGCTATTATGTCTATTTTATATATATATATATATATATATTATATATATATATATATATATATATATATATATATATGCATACATATATATATGCGTATATATATATACATATAGCATCCGTTTAGCATGAAATTTTAACACAGTTCAAAAGGACTTTTACAATTCTGTAAAAAAGTAAAAAAGTGGTCATTTTTATAGAAAGCTAATAGAAGGATAGAATGCTGACTTTGATTTATTTTCTGTTTCTCCTTAACCATTTGCTTTCCAGACCTTTTGATATCTTTATATTACTCTCTATTTTTGCCAACTGTGTGGCCTTAGCTGTTTATGTCCCTTTCCCTGAAGATGATTCCAATTCAACCAATCATGACCTGGTGAGTACAGCAGTTATCTCCCTCTCTGATAGATCTTTCCTTTGCTTTGAGCTGTCCGCTGTTTTTCATTTGCTTTTCAGAGATGTTAGGCTTGGGTTGGTGGGCTGATTTAATGTGCTGTGAATCCATGATTGAGCCCTTCTGCTCTGGAGTAGCTTAAGACCTGCAGGTGATTCTCCTGTGGTTCTCTGGTTGTATTTACTCGGGGCTTATATCATTGGCTCATTGTTGTTTATGTTTGGCTGTGATTGGTAGATGATTGTCCTTTCCTGGGTTGTCTTTATTGCGGTATCATGTTTCGTTTGTCTGGACAGTGCTGTTGAATAGGTTGTATGCACTAGGTGTGTTTCATGTTTGCGTCTATAACACAATGTGAGTAATATCGTAGAAGAGAGAGCAGCTAAGAGTGAGTCTCATTCAATAACCATTATGCAGCTGTGTAATGTTTGCTTGCTTTCTTAATTTGAGGATATTATAAATGTGGTCAACCTTACAGTTGAGTAACACAGTCACATCCCCAGAAGATTTAGATAGGACAGCTACTAAATCTTTGACCAATGTCTTATACTTCAGGCTGGCATCAAAAGAACACTGTTTGGAATTGTCTAACATACATTTAATTAAGTATGAACATTAACATACTATCACGGCATCGTTAGCACCATATGACACTAATAAATAATTCTGTCACACATTCTCTTGCATCATCAGCTCATCACTAACAACGTGTCTGCTGTCACATAGTATTAGTGCTGTCATGGTATTAGTGATGAAGGCAGCATGTGTTTCTGTGTGAATGTGTTCGTGTAATACAGTGATTGGTTCTGTGTGTGAATACAACTTTGTTTTGTTGAGAGCTCTGACTTAGGATAAACATTGGGAGTTAGGAAAAATAAAAGAAGACAAAACATACATTGTACATATGTTCTAAACTAGTGAAAACTGTGGAAATATGACCAGGAATTATGGGTAAAAATATTAAGATTATTAACAATGTATTGTGCTTCCTTACACTTTTGTAAATATAGTGTGTTAATACAAAGCTGTGCAGTGGCTGTGCCTCACCGCCAATCCAACGTTACACTGCATAAGAGGAAGTGACCACCCATTGAACTTGATGCATGTCATTCCAAGTTCAGTGTTGGGTAGTTGCCTGTTTTTGTTCATCTGCATACTGTGCACTTTTACTATAATAGAAACTTTGCTTTTAGTTCATCTGCAGCTTCATCTCCCTCAACAGTCGCTATATGGGCTACAAAAGGAACTTTAAAGGGAACTCAGAGGAACCCTGAGCGTTAAGACTCAAAAATAGTGCCTTAAAATAATAGTGTGCCTTAAAATAGTATACATGTCCAATACCATTAAAATGTATATACACCAAATAAAAAAGTTATGTTTATCGTAAAAACATGACAATTACCAGTGGGTCACCCTAAGGCCTATTTGAGCTAGATCAGTTTTACCACAGAAGGTGATGTAATTTGTAAGGTATTTGACTGGACAGTTTGTACAGGATAAAGTATCTGTCATTTCCTCAAATTACCTCAGATAGCCAAAATTGAAATGTCATGATTTGGGCATTCACCTCAGCATTAAGGCTAAAATTAAAGCTACAAACAATCAAACAATGAAAACTTCCAATTAGTACCAGATACAATAGTGTTAAGCTCTCATACAACTATACGAACTCTGCCCATATATTTCATTTCATTCTCCTTGTAATTAGCACATCAACAAAAATGTTTTAGATTGCGGTAGTCCTGTTTTGAGGATAAAGAAACTGTGCCAACTTTGAGAGAAAATATATACCAAATTATTGTGAATTTCAGTAGTCCTGTCATGAATTTAAGAATTGGGTCAAATCAAGCTCCATGATAGTTGTTGCAAAAAAATGGACGCACTGTTTTCTTTTACTGTGATGTTGATTACAACATCAGTATTATTACTGAGGGAGCTTAGAGTTGGGCAAATTATAGAAGGTGATTCGCTCCAGAATTTTTTACTTGTAAAAACTATGGCACATTTATACTGGATTAATGTCACAGATCTTGTTTGTGATCTCTCAAATTACAGCACCTCCCCAGGTAAAACCAGTCTAGCTTGAACAGGGCTTAAGTCGCACTGTGATGATGTCATATGAATACACTCCAGCTGAAGTTGGAACTGCTGAATGATATATTTTAGTTAAATTATATATTTAGCATCTGGTTTTCACTCTGTGGACAAGCAAGAGCAAGAAAACCTAAAAGATAGACAGCGATTGTTTTGCACTCTTATCATCTTTTATGATAATATAGTAGGTAAACAGGAAAATCGATGAAATTAGATATGTGTCCTTGAAAAATATCCTCTATCATTTAAAGGATAATGTCATTATCAGTGAAAATAAAAGTCTAGCAAAAAACACAATTAAATGCTAAATTAAGTCAACTGAACCTCATGCTTGCCTTAGAAGGCCAACAAGCCAGGCTGTGAATAGAACCGTGCGTGTAGCACCCTGCATGCTTAAAAGCCCTTCTGTTTTCCACTTTTTCTGTGCAGTTTTACAACCATGGCTTTTATCAAGCTTAGCGCTAGGCTTGGAGGACCATTCCACCTGCTTTTAGTTTTGGAGGGACCAAGAATCTAGTGTCTCCCTGAAATTAGCACCTATGCCTGTAGTACTTGTTTTCTCTCAGAGTTTGTTTTTAATTGAAGCATTGCTGATCAAGGGGTTACATCATCCATATGATAAAAAAACATCTGCAGTTTGGGTGAGTATGAATAAGTGTGTGCCTGGGAAGGATTGCATGTCCTGGTTTGTGTGCGTATGTGTGTCATGGCTGCTGGGGTTATAGTGCTGATCTTACTGCTGGCTAAAGGATTAAACCCTGCTGTGGATTAGCTGTCAGTCAAAGGGAGGGGGTGGTACTGAGGTTGATGAGGGTCATGGGGCTGTTGGTGTTCTACTTTAATGATGCAAGTCCTTCAAGCCCTCTCCAGTATTTTTTGTTTTTGTGCTGATTAATGATGCTCCTGGCTGAGCTGTAGTGCTCAATAATAACCATTTACCCGAAACCTCTCCATTTAATTATGTGCATCTTGGGAGACCAGCTAAGAATTTTAAGCATCTCCACAAGCATCTTGTTGCATTACGCGGCATATGAATACACTTTTTCTGTAAGCAAGCGTTCATTGCTAGTATAAAAAGAGATTTCCATTTTATACGGGTTGTCCCAATTCTTTTTAGAGTACTAGGATTGAAGCCCATCCAGTTATAATTTGAATTGAGTATCAGTTAGGGTGGCATCGATACCAATACCAGACCAGTGTCGATGCCGGTACTAAAACGCAGTATCCTACTGGCAAATAAGAATATACCATAAATCAATGGAATTTAACAAAGAAAACATCAAAAGTGTGGGATTATTTCAAGTTTGAGACAAGCTGTAGTAAGAATACCACTCATCTCCCACTGTGCTACAGTCTGAGGTAATGTTAGTCCAGGTTGTTACAGGGAATGAACATTAGAGGTATATAGAAGGAACTGCTGGTTTCTTGGGGTAACGATAGCTTTTAGCTTAGGTTTAGCCCATAGCACAGCAGCTTGCAGGCTGCGTTAGTCTGTCAGAGTAGCTGCTGCATGCCTACGTATACACATCACAGGTTTACCTACATATCGTTCAGATCTGTTGTTAACTATTTCGCACAAAAGTATTTTTACTTCAGTTGTTAAATATTCTTATTAATAACTATACTTTTTTGTGACATAGAACGGAATATATGACTATGTGGATTTATAGGCTAGTTAGATTAGAACTTGTTTCGGCATCGGTGCTCTGTGTTGGCAGATACTTAAGAATCAAGTGTAAGTATTGGAAGGCAAAAAGTGGTATCGGTGCATCCTTAGTATCAGATATTTTAAGCCTGATTCGCGTCCATTCCTTCTGTTTTTTGCACTCTGTTTAGACCCCTGTAAAAGAGGTGGCATTAACAGCCATTATTCTCAACGTGCAGCAGTGATGCACATTTTCCAAAGTTAACACCGAGATCTAAATGTCTGCTGAGTGGAACTATTTTACAGTGCAATATCAAAATTTGTAATATCTGCATTGCCAACATTTTAACAGTGTTTGAACTGTCTGAGTATTTAAAATGCAGCTATTATGCTTCCAATCTTTTTTCTACTGGTGTCCAAAATACATGTTTTTTACTTGCAATTTGCAGGCAGAGAGAGAATCACAAAAACGTTATGCTTTATTGGCCACACCACACTTCTTCTGGTTTAACCCCTTAAAAGCCCAGTCCTATTACATACTACGGCTTATTATTCAGTTACTACAGGCACTGGTTGAGATACTCTTAGGGTATTGAAATGTGTTATAAAATTCTGGGCCAGCAATTGACAATGCAGTAGCTGAAGAGACTGTTATCATGAAAACCTTTGTTTGAGTCCATTCGTCCTTTAAGAGAACCTTAAATGGCCTACACCGTTGTCTACATAAGATTTTCACAAATTTGAATACTGTTTTTTAGCAGAAGCCCAACAGAGCAAAAGAGACTAACAGAGTAATGACTAGACTACTGAATCATGCACAATAGTCGTTTCAGACAATGACAATTGATAATGACAAATGACAGATTACGTGCATTAGGCTTTCTGCACTGAGAAGATTTTTTTTGCCTTGCATGCACACATTGATACAGATTATTTTTAAGTCTGTGTCAAACCCTTCCCAGTTAGAAAACTTGGTGTTAATCCTAATCCTAATGGTATTGTTTCAGCAGTTCCTGATTGAGGCTTTAAATGATTTAGGAGTTGACGTGCCACAAGACCCAGAGGCTGTTTTCTTTAAGACGGGTTTCGATATTGGAGAGTTTCTTGGAACAGCTCAGACTGAGAAAGCTCATCTAGAGAGGCATGTTTCAGTATTTCCCCTACCATAGAACTTAGTAGGCGCCTAGTAATCTTGATTACCGCCCACTAATCCAATCAACAGTTCTTCTGATCAGGGACACTG